CTTAGTAGGGAGAAGCCAGGCAGACGCTACTGTACCTGCTGCGCTGCTGCCAGGGAGCAGAGGGGAGGGGTCAGCCCTGCTGTGTAGCAGAGAGCGCCGCCCAGCCCAGAGAGCATGCCGGGATGCTGAGGTTGTCTGGTTTATTTTAAACCAGCAAGGGGTCTGGGACAGACGTTGCATAAACAGGTTTGACCCAAATCAGTTAAGTCTGATACTACATTCAACCAGGTTTATCTCAAACCGGTTTCAGCCATTTTCAAGCTGGTTTATGTGCACTGAACATCTGTTCTGTTACAGGTTTAAACCAGTTTCTGAACACTTCAACTGGTTTATGTGTAATGTCTGTCCCTAGTCTTGAGGTTTAAACTGTATTTAAACTGGTCTAAGTGCTCTGTGTGTCCATGATCTTGCTTTGGAGCAAGATATTTTATGGAGTCTAGATAAATAACTAAGTGATTCTGATTGCTTTGTAAAAATAATCTCTCCTTACCATTGGCTATAGGCCCACTAGCATTCATTTCATCTGTGAACTTTACCTGCTGTGATTTCATTTTTAATTTAAGATCATTAATAAAAACAAATTTAATAGCTCTTGGTTGAGAACTAATCCCTTAAAAACAGATCATAAATCATTTAGAACATTGGGTTTTTCATCCATGTGGACCACACTGGCAGCCAGTTAGGATCCTGAAGATGCTTCTGTCATGATGCTGTCCTTCATGGGTAGATGGCCCCATAATGGGGTAGCTTCAGTGTCTGAATAGGTTCCATGAGTTGCTCCATGCAGTGCACATTTCTGCAACCAAATCTTAAAGGAACAAAGGACAAGGTAATTAGAGCCTGGTATCCGGATAAGAAAGGAAAACTCGTACTCATCTCATTGGGCACAGATGGAGAAAAAAAGTGCTCCTGGCCACAGCTGATACCTGAGTAGCTAGGAGTTAAGCAGGGCTTTAACAAAAATGGATAAGTCATGCACCGCTCTCATGAATGGAAGTCACACTCCAGCACTTCTGGGGCAATATCCTTTTTGTCAGCTCTACCAGCTGCTTCCTATGCCCCAGCAATATTATACCATTAATTCAGTCAGTTGCCTTCATGCTAGACTGAGGCAGTGGGTTATTTGTTCCACTGCATTGGCTGGCTCAAGTACGGCAGGGATGGAGAGCTGGGACCCCTGTACCCTCACTAACCTTCTTAGCAGCCTCATAATGCACATTAAAAGCCAGGAGTAACAAAAAAGACTCCACATAAGAGAGCCCCTGGGACTCTTAGCAATATAAGAATGGAGCCATTCAAGTGAGTCCATCCACCCCTGTGGGGTCCCTGTAATTAATGGTGTGCATCATCCCAGACAGATGGTGAGGGGGCAGGTTTTTAGGCTGCAACTCAGGGGATACGTTAGTCTACTGATCATGAATACTAGCTGTACCACTGGGCAGATCCTATGCAACCAGACTGAAGCTGAACACAGACACATGCTTCTTGTAACACAGCAGAAAGTCCCTTTCAGGGCAGGTGCAGTCCAGCACTTCTGTTAAAGGGTGAAAAAGCCAATTAAAACCCAGGCTATAGTCCCAGGGGAAGCATGTAATTCATAGCAAGGACTGCTCTGTAGGGGAGCAGGATAAGTAGGTCCCACTGCACTCCAATGAGAATGATTATACACGTTTTATAACAAAAGGGCTGCTTACAGAGCTGGGTAAGTAGCCTGAGATGGGGTGATGGGAAATAAAATTATTCCAGGCTTGGGAATTGTCTGTGATCATCATGTTGTGGGGCCCAGAGCAGGGGCTTCTAGGGAAGGTGCTTGTGAAAGCAAGGGAGGCAATGGTGGAAATACAGTATCTATGGGACTAGCTAGACTAGGTAAGGAAAATGACTATTGATTTTACCACTGTATCAGTGGTGGTTTGGCTTGGCAGGAACCACTGAATGCTGTGGGCTGAGTGGGCCAGAATGCCTCCCATTTTGTGTTGGATCTTCCTTAACCTGGCACAGAGTGGCTGCTTTCTCTGCCTGGAAAATGGAAGTACGACTACCTCCCACCTGCTAGAAGACCACCCCTAAGAGGGAACCTGGGCTGATAATGGGGATAACAAGGGCTGATTAGGAGGCAAACACTGACTACTCGTCCTCTTTCCTGGGGTGGGGTTATGTCTGGGTGGGAGCTGATACCAAGGTGGGGACACACTTTGTGTTAATAACTCACCAGGGGAAGAGTGACTCACTTTGTTTTTGAATGACATTCTAAAGTCCTACATCACGCAAGTGGAACAACACCTCTTTCCCCACAATATAAATCTATGCCCTCTGCTGTAATATAGGGAAGGCAAATAAAGCTGTTAACTCTTAGCTATTTCATTCAAACTTTCCCCTAATTACAAACTCTGCTGGGTGTAACTCAACTCACTGGACAGAAAAAGCCGGATGGAAAGGAACCAGCTCCCTTTGCCAACAAGGAGAAACACAAGAGGGCTTTTGGATAAAGCACCACAGAAAAGCTACATGCTGGCTCAGAGTGTGATGGAGCAATACAGGTTTACCTAAAGGCAAGTGATGCCAGCTTTGATTGTTCCATCCTAAGGAGCTGTACAGTGGACACTAGGGGGTGACCTGGCACTGGCATGTTGTCTCAGAGTGGGTTGCAGTTGCTGAATGAGCAGCCTTCTCAGTGGTTATACATGTCACCTGCTGCTGTGTGATCTTCGTGTAGCTCCAGACTCTCCTGTGCAAATGTGTGCTGGACAATACTGGCTTAAAGGCACAGAGGTTAGCACAGAATAGCCCACAGACAATCCATATGACATGCACCATTGTACTCTTTCAACAGGAGGTGAGGTTGTTCTCTAGCCATCAATAAATGCTGACTAAGCACCAAGGTAAATGTCTTAGGTCTATGGCCCATGGTCCTGCCAAGGCCCAAATCTCTTCCTGTCGAAATATAGTGGCACAACTTGGACTTGCTAGCAAATGGTAACATTTTATTATTTGAAAATGAAACTAAATATCACAAGAATGCAACCAGGGGGTAGGGGGCAGATGATCCTACCCTCTCTTTTATTTCTTTTTGAATCTAACAAAAGTTTGGTGCTTGATTGTTGAGAAACGCAATAACAATAATACCTCCTTTCCCCCAGAGTGCCAACTATTGGCATAGCCAACTTCTTGTGATTTCACTTGTGTGCCCTGAGATTTTTCTAAGAGCTCCAGCTCCTGCAGGAGTATGATTGTAAACAGCAATTCCAGCTTTTAATTTTTAAAACAATGACCAGACCTTGTGATTACAGAAATCTTGAAAACAACCAACACTTGACTGGAGTCATCATCAGGGATGATTCTGCCCTGAGTAGGGGGTTGACTACAGGATCTCCTGGAGTCCCTTGCAGCCCTACTTTTCTATGACCTAAGGACACCTTAATGGCTCAGAGAATAGGGGGGAAATGAAACATCAAATGTAGTACTTTTTAAACCCTTCTTATTATATCACTCAGATGTGATAGCATTGCAAAAGTCTCTTCAGACTGCAAATGTTTCCACAGTGAGAAACAAAAGAATGCAAAGTCCTGCATTGGGGGTGGGGAGTTAAGTATATTTATTTATTTGGAGGAGATTTTCAAAGTTTACAGGATTTAGGGGCACAAGTCAGTAGAACTTGCCCTAAAGCCTGGAGGAGCTTGTCGAAATCTCTCTTATAAAGGCTGTGTTTGTGGGCTCTCTCTCACTTGTCCCCCATCCTGCTACTTTCTGTAAGCCTGAAATTCCTTCTGCCACAGCCCAGGCTACGTTTCGGTCCAGTGCTCCTGCTGTTTCCCCCTGTTGCATTTCTGCTTTTTGTGCTCCTGGAAGGAGCTCACACTTGGAATAAATACTAAAGGGAGGCTCTTTGGCCCGGCCTCAGCAGGCCGCCACACACTCTTCAGGCGGTCATGTGATGGAACATCCTCCCCGCAAATGAAAAGCATATGTGGTCCAAGCTGCCTAACTCATCTGCTTGGGCAGCTCTCCCCAACATCACAAGGTCCTCGGGAACAGAGGGTTGGAAGCCGCTAGTGGGTCTCGCCCCCCTGCTTGTGGTCAGATGCAGCCCCCTATTTGGGGCCAGGAGGGAATTTTATCCCATGCACAGGTGGTCTGGACTTAGCATGGCCATCATACAGGGCAGTCCGCTTATCCTCTGCCCTTGACTGATACGAAACCAGATGCCTTTATGCCCTCTGTTTTTCTCTTGAAGGTGTCAGGGCTGAGGGTAGCTTTGCTAAGGGGGCAGGTCAGGCGAGGAGCTGCGCAGACAGAACACGTGACCGCTGGAAGCCTCCACGGACTCTGTTGAGAAGCGCTCAGGAGAGCCCCCGCGCCACACCAACCGGCCCGGCTATCCCGGGAGGGGGCGGGGCCTATCGCGCCCATCTGACGCCTCGCGCACCTGGCCCGCGGGCACAGCGGAGTGAGGGCAAGGCCTTCACCACCCTCAGTGCGCACGCGCGGCTCCTTTGGCGCATGCCCAGAATAGGGGGGGGAAAAAGAAAAAAAAGCCGGCTGGCAGCCCGGCTGCCGCGTGTCCCTCTCAGCGCGCCCCGCCCCCCTCGGCATGCCCTGCCCTGCCCTGCCCGGGGCTGCCAGGGGAGAAGGGGAGAAGGGCAGGCCCCCCGCCCCTGCCTTGCCTCTGCCCTGCCCGGCGGCCCCGTGCGAGGCGGTGGGCGCCCGAGGCAACTCGGAGGTGGTGAAGCGGGCGCTGCTTGGCGCAGCGGCGCCGGGCGCCTGGCGGTCCTTGTCCTGCGCCGCTCTGGAGCCCGCCAAGGAGAGCTGTGAGCCCCCGCGGGGGTGGGGCACGTCACTGACCTCGCTTGGGATGCTCGGAGACGAGACGGGGAGGGCAGCGAGGGCGGACGGCTCCAAACCAAGGGGCGCGGAGGAGGGACGCTGGGCGAGCGTGCTGGACAGTGCTCAGGGGCCCTCGCATGAGCCGGCGGAGCCAGCCACTGGAGAAGGGACAGGAAAGTGGCCCCACAGTCTTCCCGCCCAGCACCTTCTTCCTGGTCAGATAGGTCACAAGCCTGGTGAGGACTCAGCGGGGCCGCAGGCGGAGTGTGCGTATGTGAGAAGGTGCTGGGAGAAGTGCAGTCAGCCCCTCAGCAGGAGGGCCTGGAGGAAGTGGTGAAGGGGTTGCAGCCTGGCACGCAGCAGGCACGTAGGTGCTGGGGCCTGCCTCTGCTTGCAGAAGAGGCAGTGTTGGGGGCATCTGTAAACCATGCTAGATGCACACCCATGGTGACAGCTCTATGGAGGAGCTGCCAGCTGAGGTCTGTGGTGGCTTATGGGATCAGGGTGGTATATATGCTTATCTAGCAGGGACCTTGGCCAAGGGGGTCTGGGTGGGACGTGAGGACGGGGGGTGCAGACCATGAGCGGTAGAGCCTGCAGTGGTGGACAATCTGGAAGCAGTCTGGCTTGGTATACCCTAGCCTGCTAAGACAGTGTGGTAGGTGGTGTCATGGGACAACAAACTCTGGGAGGTTGGGGGACCTGAGTCTGACAGGAGGTGCTTTGAGTCTAAAGAGGTTGAGAACCTCCAGTCTACACCCAAGACATGCACAAATCCTTGCATGAGAACTCGACTGCAGGTTTGTGGCCTTGATGTCTACATTATACTCGTGCTGACTTCTGGAAAGTGAAACTGACAAAAGGAAACAGGTTTTTGTTAGAAGTCTTCTTGCCTTTATAAAGCTTAGTTTTTTGGAGTATTGCAAAGCAAAATATCCCCCAGTTGTATTGAGCATGACAATGGGCAAGACGCTTCATTGAGCAGCTAATCAGCAGCAGGTTATAATTTTCCAGCTATGGCAGCTGGTGGATGAGAAGCTACTAATGAAATAAAGTAACGCACCAGAGACTCTGCTGTGCCATTATTGCCCTGGCAAAGATCCCTTTGGTTTCACTGATTTCAAGATGAGGCAGAAAAATGGATTAAGGCTCATTGATGCAACAGTTGAAGGATGTTACCTGTGAATGAGTTCCCCAGTTTCTTCCCCAATGAAAGTCAGTGCCTGGTGAGCCAAAAACACCCCTGTATTGTTTTGAGGATTTTGTGCCTAGCTAGAGCTAGTTCAGAGGGACTTCGTGTGTGCCAGAAACTCCCCTGAGACTTCCTGACTTCTACTTCAGTGCCCTATTTAACAGACCATGGCATGTCTTGTGTGATTAGTTCTGCTTTTAAGTGTCTTCCTCTAGTGCATTGCAGCAGTGACTTGTTTTTAGTAATTCCATGCTCTCTTGAATTCGGTCAGGTATTGTGAAGAAGCCAGAGACTTGGGCTGTGTCAACAACTTGCTGGTTGGGTCTCCTCCACACAGAGGGGTTGTGATGAATGAACTGTGTGATGTTAAAGTACATTTAATCTGTGCAGGGATGCTTCCATTCAGAAGTGGCCATAATTAGACTGTGGCTTAACCCCTGTCAGTCGACTGTGGCAGCTCTACATCTGACTCGAGTAGTTATGCCTGGGCTTAATGTGCTTTAGCTGCAGATGGGCTAAAAATGTTGACTCCTCACATCAGCCAACCCCTCAGTATTTCCTTGCCCTAAAAAGGTCTGCTATTCTAGACAATTAGCACGTGTCCTATGGGACTGTGCTGTACAGGTACGCTTTGTCTGACAAGCACAACTGAGACAGTTTGGGAGAGTAAAAGATTAACTAGCAGTGCTACTGCTCTCATAACTTTAGTCGCTGCTTAATAGCTGTTTATCCCAAGTGAATTAAAATGGGGGGTAGGGATAAGGGGGAAGTAAAACACTGCATTTCTGTAACTAAATGGCCACATACAAACCTACACAAATCTGTTTCTAAGCAGTTGATTATAATAGTTTTAAATCATTCAAGCTGTACTGGTTTAGCTAGTCTTGTGGAAAGAAACCTTTTCCTATTTAATGTTATTTTGCTCATCAGTGGAAACCAGTAGATTAGATGGTATCCTATGGTGGTGCAAGGTCAGATGCTCAGCTAGTGTAAAACTGGTGTGGCTCCATGCTAGACACCATTGACCTGCACTGATGGAGAAGCTGGGTCATTGATCTTTGATGAACTCCTCTCTTTTTTTTCCTATTGCTTTCTAGAAAGCCACTTCTCCTGTAGTATTCTTTTCAAACCTTAATGAAGCCAAACCCATTTAGACTGTTGGCTAGGCTTATGTGCAACCAAGCTTCATCAGCAGTAGTGAAGGGGTTTTGTTGTGCTAGATGCCTAGGTACTTCTGTGCTGAGTGCTGTGAGGTGGAGGGAGTAAAGCAGTGGTACTCAAACTTTTTTTTTTGGCGGAACACTTGAAAATTGCTGAGGGTCTCGGCGGACCACTTAAACTTTTTTTTGTTCTACAAATCAAAGCACGCAACTCATATTTTAGTATCAGTAGTACAGATATTCTCGATTGTTCTGCAGCTTTCTGTGGACCACCTGAATGGAGCTTACGGACCAGGGGTAGTCCGTGGACCACAGTTTGAGAACCTCTGGAGTAGAGCATGGAAGAGTCTAGCAAGTAGACTGAATGTCTCGATCTCCAAGAAGTTGTTGGGAGTTGGAGGAGTACATGTTTCTTTATGTGATGTTCTGGAAAAGCTAGGCTAAAGAAATGAGACTTCTACCTTGTTTTTAGTTTGGGAATTGATGGTCAGTTGTCCTCCCCCTCCCTGGAGAGGATCTTCATCCTTGTGGACTAGTTGCTAGGAAAGCTTTGTCCTCTACACTCACATTGATTCAGGAGATGGTTGGCTGCAAAGGTCCTGTGGAATGAAAGCACAGCCCTGAGTAGAAGGGTCTTGAACCAATGCAGTATGTGGTCCTAAAGATGAATACTGTCCTGATCAGACTGTGACATGAGAACTGAAATGAGTAACGAGCTCTTGACAGCCAGGCTTGCTGCTGTGGTTGGAGCTTTTAAGGTTCAGCGCACACATCCCCAAGTTCTGGGAGCTGCAATAATGAATTTAAGGTGGGGGGGGGCAATCACTGGCCATCCCATGACCTGATGGTGTGGAATGCAGCTGCCTTGCTCCCCACTCAAGAAAGACATTTGATCACAGCTCTGATCTCCTTGGAAGAGTTTACCATGTTGCTGCTCCATTTGGAAAAGTTCCTTGCTCCATACAGAGATGTGACTCCATAGATGGAGTCCCTGGATGGCTGGGCTGATAGTAGTAGGCAGTAGTTGTCACCTCTGTTCCTGACTAGCCCCATGTCTGGAAAGCCTGGATACAGGAGGTGAATTGTTCCAGATTAGGTGGTAGGTGTTTCAGTCTGGGTTGTACAGGGGATAGAAAAGGGAGGAGAGCTGATGTGCTGGTTGCGTTTGATCTAGGTTACTCGGAGTGTGGAGCTGGCTGAGGAATTGCATGGTATTTTCCGGCGAAAGATGCTTTGCTGATTTGTCAGAACAAGCTTTCTCTGGAAATGTGCTTACCAGCTGTGATGGAGAAGGATTTTTTGAGATTTTTTGAGGATTTTTTACTCTCCAGAATATTCGGTAGCCCAGTGGATAAGGTTTCACTTGTACCTGGGATGTGGAAACTGACTGTTCTGTCCATGTGGCTACAGAGTATTCAGGGTGGTGTTGAAGGGATCCCTTTTGGCTTTTATTTTTCCATCTCAAAAGGTCTGTACAGAACAGGGGTGGGCAAAATGGCTGATCCAGTCAGCAGCCAGACTCCATTTCCCAGGAGCCTCTGCCTGCATGGCTGGGGCCGGTCTCCATGGTGACCCCAGCCACACCTGCATTGTGAAAGCTTCAGGCTGGGGTTGCCATGGAGACCAGGCTCAGCCACCCTGGTGGGGCATGCAACAGATCAGAGCAGGGGGCTGCTCTGGAGCTGCTGGGAACTTGCGAAGGGGGCAGCTTGCTTTGAAGTGAGGGCAGAGCTGTGACCTGTAGTCTGCAGGCTCCAGGCAGGGGTGTGTAAGCAGGGGTTTGCAGCTCTGCTTCTGCTCCAGACCAGGCTGTCACTGCTGCAAGGAGCCAGGGCAGAGCCATGATCCCCTGCTTGCGCACCCCTGCCTGGAGTGTGCAAGCTACAGATCGTGGCTTTGCCCTGGTTACGGAGCAAGCCGCCCCCATTGCAAGATCCCAGCAGCTCCGGAGCAGCCCCCTGCTTTGCTCTGTCATGTGCCCTGCCAGCAGGGCTGGGGTTGGTCTCCATGGCAACCCCAGCCTTGAACTTTCACAGCACAGGTGTGGCTGGGGTCGCCATGGAGACCAGCCCCAGCCATGCTCAGGGGTGGCTGGGAAATGGAGTCTATTACTGACTGGATCTGGCCTGCCAGCTGGACTTTGCCATCCCTGGTTTAGGAGGAGGCTCCCAGCCCTCAGGGTAGCGAGGTTCTGGAACAGCTTTCCTGTGAGTAAGGGCAGGGGGAGAAATACCTTGTTTGTTTTGAAGGTGGAACACATATAGAAGGGACTGTGTGACAAAGTGTCTCTGATCACAGGGGAAAGGACTCTGACCCTAAAGAGACCTTCAAGTCTATGTTCCTGTCTTCATTTAGAGCAAGAAAACATCTGTGGGACAGGAAGGCCCAGCTCTAATTTGTCCCTCTTGGGTCTTTGGATTTATTTAAACCCTAGCCTATTCTCTCTGGGAATTAAACTCTTTGAAATACACTTCTGCAGTATATTGCCAGAACAGACTCTTTCTAAGTTCCTTGAGTGCTTCCCTTCTTGGCTGTGGGATCCCTCAGGCTTTGGCCTCTGAGGCTCCATGTGCCCTGTTGGAGGTCAGGCATTTTTGGGGCTGCTGTGTCATGTATATACTTATTCTCTGTTTTGGAGATGAGTCAAGTGGACACTATGCTGTACCTTAATGCAGAAGGAGTTTGTTAACCTGGGCTTGGTGGGTAGGGTGGATTGCTATTGGTATCCACAGTCGGTATAGCTTTACTGCAGTCTAAACTCTGAGGTGCAGGTTGCTGTTGAACCTACTATGTTTCCTGGACACCAAGAGGAAACAAACCTGTCGTGTAGTAGAAGTGCTTGCGGTTCAGAATGAGCTCTGTGGTGTGACTGAAATCCCCGGAA